AAAAATGAAAGAATACTTACTATTGATGGTTTTGAACTCATAGGCGATTGCGGTAAATCCCAAATGAATGTAATCGATTTTGGAATAAATGTCAGAGCATTGAAATACTTCTATTTATTCTTAAAATATGGAGAATTACTGAGTAAGTTTGAATCTCTGATAAAATTTGTAAAACTAATGTTGAAAGCTGTAGAAGCTGTAAATTCTTACTTCGAAGAAGTGCCTGTAAATAATTGGTATATAAAGAAGTTATTCTGTGATCTGAATAATTATTATAACGATACTGAAAAACATTCAGATCCGGATGAAACAAAAAAGTTTTTTGAAAAGATACTTCAAACCACTTACAATGCGATTTTTGAATTATACAAAAATACAAATCCATATTCTATCTGTTTTTCTATAGAAAAAGAACAAATTGAAAATTTAATTCAATCGAATAATTTTTATGATAGTATAATCGATTCAACATTTAAGAAATATTATCCACCGTCCGAAAATTTTAATCATGAGGAACGCAGAATGGCTCTAAAATTATTTGGTCTAAAATTTTTTACAGAGTACAATTATTTAGACGATTACAATTGGTTATTTGATAATTATTATCAATAATATATATATTTTTTTTAATAATTACACAAATATATACTATAATATGTTTGTTATTTTTATGTTAATAAACTGTTAACATTTTTTAAATATTATATACATAAATAATATATAAATGTATATATTTATTTATTTTTAATGTATATTTATTAATCACGTTAATATTTGTATTAAGTTTGTAATTGTGTAAGAAATAAATTAATAAAACTCCATACGCATGTGTTTCAATAAGTGTTTCGTCTCATTTCTGCGCAGATATAATAATCACCCTTTGATTCTTTTAACCTGTGTAAAGACAAAAAATAATATGAAATTGATAATTTGAACACAAAAATAGTACACATTTTGACTAAAGCAGCCAATTTCACATAAAAGATAGTTTCATAAAAGTAAAATTGAAAAAGATTTTCAAAAACATTAATAATTAAAAGGAAAATATCAAAGGTTAACATACCACATGTGCAAGTTTGTAGTTAAGCGCGTAATAAATCCATTATAACTTACATTATTATTTTTTTGCTTCGATGCGAAGCTGAGAAGGTATTATTTTTACTAAGATGTGTTTATTTTTTTTTGTGTCTGTTGCCACTTTTTCTCAGCTCTCACTGGACTGATTTCTTTCAAAAATACGTCAAAAGATCACAAATCGTATCTAGTTGAAGACATTACCCTTAAAAATTGAAAAAAATTCCCTCGTTCCCCGCAAATGGGGGAAATATCCAAAAAAATTACAAATTTA